TCAGTTTTTAAATTGTACTTTAAACCACAAAGACAAGACAACACTTCTGTCTTGCCCTTACAGAAGTCAATGGTCCAGGGCAATTTTGTGTTCAGTAGAACAGAACTGGGTCCAAAATATGAAAACCACATTAAATTTCATGCTATAGCTATTTATGAGAATGCCATTATGTGTTACTGCCTTCTTTCTTTATGAATATTCAACATATATTGTGATATTGTGTGTTTTTATAGTAATTTACTGGGGTAAAGAAATATACTGTAGTTGAACCAAGTTGAAGATATTCAGCGAAGATCTACTTGTCCATTCTGTGGCAACGTTTGAATATTGCCGTAAATCTTTAATAATACTTTGGACTGTGACTTAATCTCAGATTTACAATATAAGAAGTGGGCCTAAAATTATATGTGAACCTCTAGCAGTCAAGTAAATGATGACTAGAGCCTGCCGTAAGAACAGTTTTGTATTTCAGAAGAAAAAACAGCAGCACAAAAAGGCCAAGTATTTCCCTAAAGAGAAATTGGAACATATTCTTAGCTTTATACCTTTGCATTTTGCAATATCCACTGACTTAGCAGTGCAGGACGCATGAGATACTTCACTGAGTGAGAGCCAGAATTTTCCCATTAACACAACAAGTAATGCAGCACTTGGTTACTCTTTTTGACAGTCTCAGTAACACCAAAAACTGGCAAAGAAGGTTGTGATATTGTTTTATTGCAAGGCATTTTCAAGTTTAGAATTGGTGGGACTGACCAAACAACCTGCACAATAAGCAGGAAAAAGCTATTAAGAAACTGAATCTATTCTATTACTTCTCAGGAACAGAGAGTGCTTATTTAATATTTAATAGCAAACAGTTTTGAAAGATATCAAATTATCTCAAAACTGAGATATTATAACAACAATACTGAATTTGCAGAGTGAAAAACATCAAGATCTACAAATACACAGAACAAATGTTGACCTCAGATTAAGCAAATGTTATCCTTTTGCAAGCAGTGATGAATACACTAATAGCACTTCTGGAATGACATTATTATCTCACTGAAATCAGTGACAGGAGTTCTATTGACTGAAATAGATCCAAGGTTTCATTCCGGAGCTGTGCTGTGAGGTCATGAAATGAAATTAATCAGATGTTGGGGAAGGTTGCCAGATACTGCTGATCAACAACACGTGTGTTGTTTTAATATAAAAATATACATCAGTCTGGATGAAATAGAAGCATTAGATCAGAAATGATACTAAATGCAATAAAACAGATCAATACATTAGTGAAGCATTAGTGAGCTTCAAAATGTGTTCAAACAACAACAAAGACCACAGTTAAAAGCAGCTTGAGTTGGAAATTAAACTGTGGCCTTACTGGGGTCCTTTGCAGCCTCGCTGATGATGTGACATCCCCCCAGAGTTTGGGGCTGTGCCCTGTTCTTCATTCACTGCCTCTCACCATGCTGTTGGTAAGTATGAACCCCAAACTGTGCACACCCCTGATGCCAGTCCCACCTACTGCACAGCCACGTCTAACAAGGTGTTTGCATGGGAAAACCTCTAAGTCCTGTTATCATAGTAAGGAGAGATCCAAACTTCTGGTTTTCCTCAGTTTTTCTTAAACAAGAGGTATGTAGAAGAATTAGACAGCATAAATACTTCTGTCTTCTAAATCTGCATAGCAGAAGCTTCTAAGCTTCTTTTGCATTTACACTCTTTTCTGTAATTTTTTTACCTCATTAAAAGGAGAAAAGACAGAAACTTTTGTGGCATTCACCATTTTGCAGCCATTTCCCATGTCTTGATTTTTTGCAAGCTGAGACCCAGTTCTTCTGGTTCATAAGCAGCAGGTGATTCTGGAATTACTGAATTACTGTTTCTGAGAAGTGTGCACTATGGCTTAATCTTTGCTTGATTCATGAAGAGAAACAGAGAAAGAATGGAGATAACAGAGTTAGCATTCTTCTTCTGTGTTAAGACAGAAGAAGAAAAACCTCTATTTGCCAGTTTATCTTCCAGATCCCAAGGGTAAGAATGCATAAACAGAGTGGAACATTTGTTTTCTTAACAAAGCCCAACAGACCACCAGATAACAACTTTAAATATTGCACTGTAAATAAAAGATGTAATTTAAGATGCTGTTTTATGTGCATCATAAAGTAAGTCCGGAAAAAACCTGGAGCCAGAGCAGTTGCAGAGCTCTAGTGACATTTTCACACATAGGTCATGTAACTCCACCTATTGAAGCCAATTCCAATCAGGCAAACCTGCTCTGAGGAGCTTCTCTAGTGCACTTTTTACTTGTTTCTTCTTCAGGCACTGATGGTATTAAAGTCATGTGGGTTTTAGTGTTGGCAAGGGTGGTGTGGAAAAAAGTAGGCAGGAATGATGGTGGCAGGCCTGGAGGAGGGGTAGGCAGCTGAAATGGAGGCTCCAGGGCAGAAGCTGAACCTAAATTACTCAGAGGGTCTCCCCAGCATTCCCAGTCCACAGTCCTTCCTTCATGGCTCGGCTGAAGTAGAGGTGTTCACCAAGGAAATTATGTGATCTGCAAGCATTACTATGAAGAGGTGATTTTGAATGCAAACCATTCAAGGCTTCTCAATGTATTTATTATCAGGACATGTTTTTGAAATGGGTTATTATGTCTCTATGTATGTTCTTAGCACACCTACACCAGATTTTGCAAGAGAGAAAATGTGTTAGTCCTTCTGATTAAATTTGCATCACCTGTACTCCAACTTTTCATGAATACAAACTTATCTCTTACAGGAAAATTCTTCAGAAGCAGATTTAGGACACAAAAATCTTCAAGGTTTGAATGGATTTGACTGTCTGTTTTTTCTTGTTTGTTTGTTTATTACTGGTACATTCAAATACCCCAGGATGCACCATCTGCTTGAAAGTATGGCACTAATGAAAAGGCCCACGGTGACAACACTGTATCTGACAAAAAGTGTTAGCAAGGAGGATGGCAAACAACTCATGTTCCTGCCTACTAATAAATAATGACTCTTATTTTTCATTCAGGTTTTGCAGGAGCTCAATCTCTCTCAACTTTTCACAGAATTGCAGAATTGTTGGAAGAGATGTCTGGAGATCATCTGTTCCAGACCCCCTCCCAAAGCAGGGTCACCTAAAGCAGGTGACACAGGAACGCATCCAGGTGGGTTTTGAATGTCTCCAGAGAGGGAGACTCCATAACCCACCCTCTTCCAGTGCTCGGTGACCCTTAACATAGTAAAGTTCTTCTTCATGTTAAGATGGAACTTCTTGTGTTTCATTTTATGGCCACTGCGCCTCGTCCTGTCTCTGGGCACCATAGAAAAAAATTGGCACCATCCTCCTGACACCCACCTTTGAGATACTTACATGTATTAATGAGATCCCCTTCACTCTTCTTCTCTCTAGACAAACAGGTCCATTCATTCCCCTGTTAATATTCCTAAGACTTACTGTGACAACAATTTCCCTACTTTAATGGTTTTGGCTGTTTTCAAGACCAGAAGGTCAGGCCCATCCCCGTCAGTGCCCAGGTCCCTTTGGACCAGACCACAGCCATTGCAACGAGGGTACCTGGCAGCAACTGGGAACGGCCTCACCCATGAACAGCACTGACCCGTGTCAGAGCCACGGGCGCCGCCGGGACCCACCACCCAGGCTCCTGCCCCTTCTCCAGTTTAGCGGGAAAGGCCAGTCAAGCCGCTGCCCCTGAGGCCCTATGGAAGGGCGCCCGCTGGTGTCCCCCCAAGACTACAACTCCCGGCAGGCCCCGCTACTGCCGCGGGGCATGCCGGGTGCTGTAGTCCGCTCGGCGCGGCTGCCCGAAGCTCCGAGCCAGCGGCACCCTTCCCGCTCCAGCCCGACCTGTGCGTGTGTGTGCTTGGGAAGGCGAGGAGCGGGGGTGCTGCTTCTCCCCGCTCCGCCCTAGCCACCGCTGCTGTGGGGACCGGACCGGGATAAGTTGTGGCGCGGGGGGAGACGGACTGGATCGATGAGCGATCCACACCAGTGGTGTGAGGTTCGACGAGACCAAGTGCACTTGTGTCACACCAACCCCTGCAGCGCTACGGGCTGGGGGAAGACTGGCTGGAAAGGTGCTGGCCAACAGCAGCTGAACACGAGCCAGCGTGTGCCTAGGTGGCCAAGAAGGCCGGTGGCACCCTGGCCTTTATCAGGCATCATGTGGCCAGCAGGACCGGGGCAGCGATTTTTTCCCTATATATAGCATTGGTGAGACTGCACTTGAGAACGGTGTCCAATTCTGGACATGCCCCTCCATTCAGGAAAGACATTCAGGCGCTGGAGCGTGTCCACATAAAGGCAACGACGCTGGTGGAGGCTCTGGAGCACATGTCCTGTGAGGAGCAGCTGTGGGAGCTGAGCGTGTTTAGCCTGGAGAAGAGGCGGCTCAGGGAGGTCCATGTCGCTCTCTACACCTGCCTGACAGGAGGTTTTGGCCAGCTGGGGATCAGTCTCTTCCCCCAGGCAATTAGCAATAGGATGAGAGCACAAAACCTCAACTTCCACCAGGAGAGGTTTAGGCAGGACGTTAGGACTAATTTCTTCACAGAAAGAGTGATTAGGTATTGGAATTTGATGCCTAGGGAGGTGATGGAGTCACGGTCCCTGGAGGTGTTCAAAGACTGGACGTGGCACTGAGTGCCGTGCTCCACCTTACCGGGCGCTGTCCGGTCACAGCTTGGACCCGATGATCTCGGAGCTCTTTTCCAGCCCAACTGATTCTGGGATTCTGACTAGCTCTAGCCGTCAGAGCGGGAAGGAAGGGTGTGTCGGGGAGTGTATGTCCGTCTGTTTCCATGTCCGTCCGTGTCCCGGTGCCTCTGTGTGGGACGACCCCGCGGCGCCCGGGCGCATGCGCACAAGGAAGGCTCGGGGGGGTGCGCGCCGCCGCCGCCGCCGTGCCCGCGCAGAAGGCGGTGCTGCCAGGGCGGGGAGGGCGCGGGGCCGCGCTCGGCCCGCAGAGCCGCGCCGAGACACCGCCCGCCCGCCGCGAGGGAGCGGCGGCACCGCCGGCCCCCTCCGCCCCTCCTCCTTCTCCTCCGCCTTCTCCTCCGCCTCCTCCGCCCTCCCCCCTGCCCCTCCTCCCGCCGGAGCGAGCGAGCGAGATGGCGGCCGCTGGGGCTCTGGCGAAGCACGAGCAGATCCTGGTGCTCGATCCGCCCACCGACCTCAAATTCAAAGGTGAGGAGGGGGGAACCCGGCGCGGCGGAGGGGAGAGGCGCGGCAGCGGCGCGGTGTCCCGTTCCGCCTGGGCGCCGGGCCGCCTCCGGGCGCCGCGCTCCCCGCTGCTGCCGCGCCCCCGCCCGCCCCGCCGGGACTCCGCTGCGCTCCTGGGCCCGGCCCCGGAGCGGCGGCGCCCGGGGACGCGGTGTCGCTCTCCGCTCGCTGGCGGTGCGGGCTCCCTCTGGCAGCAGCGGGCAGGAGAGGCCCTGGAGCGGGCGGTGGAAGCCTTGCGGGGCTCCAGCCTTCACGAGGCTGCCCTGACGCCTGGCCTTGTCCCACTTTTCCTCTCAGGCGTGTTGGGCCGCGGTGCCCGCGCGGGGCTGGTGCGGCTCTGCAGCACCGGTGGCCGGCCCCGGTGCATCGCAGCCCCGCAAGGGCTCCCCGCCCTTTCCCCAGAGCTGTCATGGCTCAGGCAGGCTCTCGGAACGTAAACAGGGAGCTCGCCTCTTTCCTGGGAGTGAGGGAAATGGAATGCGTGCCTTTCGGAAGTTTTATGTGTGCTGTGTGTTGCGTGCCGACCGCATGGCTGTGAGTGCTGACGTGCTGCTGTCAAAATAGGTTCCTGCTAGTGCTGGTGTCGTGTGTGCCTGGGGTTTTCTCTCCTCGTGAGTTAGACAGTTGAGAAAGGAAAGGCTCTGTCAGAAATGAGTGATCGTTGAAAGGCATGGGCATAAAAAAAAAGCGTGTCAGAACATGTAGTTTTTGTGATGATATATCTGTAAGGGATATTGAGAAAAATCTCAGAACCTTTCAGATTTGGAATCATCAATATTAGATTATTTTTTAAAGAGTAGTTTATATTATGTGAACTTATGTTTTTAAGTGTTGTGACTGGTGTCAGCACATTTACGTGCCTAATCCTGTACATTCCTGTGTTTTCCACTTTTAGAATGCTCATTTTTCATTGTTTTAGAGAGCAGAGTGGAATTTATGATGTTGTAAAAATCTTGTACGGACAACTAGAACAAATGAATGTTTGTGTTAGAATAGAACACTATATTTCCCCAAAATACATTTGGTCTGGCCTAGCATTTAGATAATTAGCAAACTATACTTGTTTAATTGATCTATCAAATCAATTAAACCCCAACATCTGTCTAATTATGCATATTAATTTCTTCATAGCTTCTATTTAAAATTTTTTAAAATTTCACTTTCATATGCAGACTCAAAACCGTTGCAGGAACTTGTCATTTTCACTTGGGTTTTGTGTTTTTAAAATGCTGCCGGTCTGGCTGCACTCACATTTCAGTATGCTGTCTTCAAACAGGGTGATGCAAGAACAGGCTGGGGGAAAATGCATTATTTTTATTTTAATTAAAAAATATACTGTGTGTAATTTGAAGCCTGCAAATGCTGAGATGTCTTTGAGGTGGAACTAAGCCGTATTGATGTGATATGGAACAGTGTGTTGATAGAATAAATACTAGATGAGAAATTCTGTCTGTGTGAAGCTGTTGTCAGTCAGTGATCTTTATTGTGCTCTATGTTTATGCACTTAGAGCATGAAATGTGTATTCTTTAGGCATAAACTTTGGTTTCAGGCTAATTTATATATTAGGAAAATTTCTGAAGAGCAGACTAAGCAAAAACAAAATATGAAGCATAATGAGACTGCAGCACTCTCTATTACTGTACTATTGCAGTAATATACTACAGGAAGTGCTGTCAATTCAGAGAGCATTGAGTGCACTCTCAAGAAATATTTTCTAACTGCTTATTATTTAGAGGTGTTTAAAAAGGTTTGTGGGCCACAAGGTAACCCAGTTCTAAAGTACTGTGTTGAAGAATGCAATATTGGCAGTAATGAATTCTGAGTGTCACCTTTTAAAAAGTAATTGGTTAGTAAGAAAGAGAATATATGACTCAGAATAAAAGTAGCCTAGTGTAGGAGAAGCATAAACTTTCTTAAAAGAATAAAACTACATTTTTTTAGTGCAGTAGATTATTCAAAGTTATTTTATTGGTACAATCATCCTTTTTTAATTATTATTGTTGATGCATATGAACAGAGATCCAGTTTAAGTCTAAACATTTGAATTGAACAAATAATGTTATTGGTTTTCTTGCCTCAGGAATTTATAATGGATTTGCCGACCTTTAGGGTAACAGTGAAATGAAAAAGTGTGCCCCTTTACAAACAACTATTTCATTAAAAGATATGTAGTACTTAACATAAGAAGTTGTTAACAAGGCTTTAAATTCATCATTTCCTGATGAAACTGCTTTTCTATTAATAAAACCTAATTTACTCTGTCAGCAAAAATAAGGTCTGTAATACATTTATCCTTGAATTTTATTCAGCATGATTCAAGGGGAGTTCTAAGAGTGTGTCCTGTGGTAGCTAACACATTACATAGTTCCCTTGGTGTCCAAGATTGCAATCCTGTTTTTATAGTGCTTCTAGTCCTAGAAATTGCAGTCATTAGTAGTGTTTGGGTTGTGGTTGATTCCCTCTGACCCCCTTCGGTAGGTGGATTTCTTTGGATTCTGAAACTATCAGGAATCTCTTAAAGCCCACAAAACAATTAAGTACTTTTCATAGTGTTGTGCAAATGTGACAAAGGGAAAAATTGTACTTAAAAGTGATGAAACCAAGAGGCAGTTGATAAACTATGTAATATCACTTTCAGACACTCAGGGTGGAACACTGAGAATTTGCCTCGTGGCAGAATTCTGGTCTTGTACCCAGGTTCTTCAGCCATATTGCTCCTGCAGGTTGGCTTTCTTTGTTGGGGTTTATTTAGGACTGGATAGGAAGAATTGAAACACAAGACGCTTGAAAGCAACCCATTTGGAAGGTGGAACATCTTCTTGCTGGTGCCTTCTTCATGTAACTCATACATGTAATCATTGTTGGTGGCTCTACTTCAGTGAAGATTATGGGAATCTGGAATTGGTGCCCTGTGAATAAATGTGTTGTTTTTTTTTTTTTGTAAGCAGTTAGGTAGTTTAACAGCAACATTTGAACTTTTAAATTCAAAAATTTGAAGCACTTTTATGGAAACTCCTTCTTCCTTAAGCCAGAGAAGCCAGTTTTGCAATTTTAAGTGACATGGATTTAGGTTGGTCTTGGATTGTGGTAGTTTTTTAAAAAAATATTTAAAAGCCTTCTCCAAATGTTTAAATCAGTCATAAGACATGCTTCTGCAACACCTAATTGAAAATCAACACTAGTTGATTTGATGAGCTTTAGAAGATTAGTAGACAGTGTTCAGAATTTAAATTTCATGTGATTCAGAAGTGTTTGACTAGCAATGCAAGATTCTAAAAACGCCTGAATATTCTAAATTAATATCCTTTATTGAAGGTCTTGCTTACAAATGTGTGAAGTCCAGTTATGTTACCTTTGTAAACATCTCAAAATAATGAGCTACCCTTTTCCTTTAGCAAACTAAAATAAAATTTGGAATGTGTCTGTGTGCAGTAAATTTTCTCTTTGGTGGGTTGAGTTACTAGGAGAGATCAGTGTGACAGAGAATATTTAATTTCTGATTGTTGATCTGCATCATAGTCTGGAATTGTCAGTGTATAAAATCAGCTATCAGCTGGTGTGTATTCAAATGGCTTTTCATGGGAGGTAGAGAGCACTTCACTCAAGTATTGTGGCTTATTCTGAAATGCAGATTTCGACAGCCTTTAAAATAATACAGAAATATTGCTGTAGGTTATTTTGTAATCATTACTCTGCTATTGGTAACACAGAAAGCCATGGGATATGTGTTGCTGCAAATCGAGAAGATGGAATTTAAAGGCAAAAATAGCTCAATGTTAAATGCATCCCCTGCCCTCAAGGTCTGTTGCCAGAATTGGCCTAGGATGCCTTTTGGTGTAGGCAGAGTTTGAAGTCCTCAAATATGATCTTACTGCCTTACTTGTGTGTATCTTGATTATGTCAAATTTTATGCCTGTTCTCACTCTCTTCAAAGTACCATTAAATTTTTTATGTCCCAATTTTATAAGATAGGTTAGAAAAAAAAAGGTGATTGGGATGTCAGTTTTCTGCTGTCTTCATTCAGGAACATTTTTGAAACTAAAAGAGTGGGAGTGTAGAGGGGGGAAAACTGATTGTAAGTGATTACTAATATAGTTGTGACTTTCTGATACTTTGAAATGGTTCCATTTTAGTTAATATTTTTACTGGCTGGGAATTGCATAATGACAATAAAATGACTCAGTATTCAACATGTAGTCTGACATTTTTTTTCTTTTAAATACAAGAGCAATGCTTGGCATTGTTTGCTCTTCCTATATGTATACTTCTATCTGTTGTTTCCTGGCTCAAATGTAGTATTTATTAGTATTTTAATTTCTTGACATTATATATATTAATGAAAATCGAAGTACAGGATGATTTGTGGGAATGTGTTGAGGAAGAAAAAGATAATGTTTTTTACATGGTGTTGCTTATTAGGTGGTTATTATGTTATACAATAGTCTCTACCACTGTGCTAGACTGCATTTAAAACTGCCTTATAAAAGGGGAGTTATATTGATCTGTGAAGTCAGGTGTGTTACAGTGTTAGATTATATTTTGGCAGAACTAGTTTGTCATTTGTTTTAAGATTCAGTAATGGAATATATTCTTGTGGTGATAGAGGTATACAGCAGTGAAGATTTAGGAGTTTTGTCCTTTACCTGAAAATTATGGGGCTCTGTTTTGCTTAATATTGCTGTTGCTTCACTAAACAGTGAAACACTATCCAAACCTCACATCTTGTCCTTCTAGTGTGTACCAGTGATTGGTATAAAAGCTTCACCTTTGCATTGTAATTACTATAAAGTGCTTATTCATGCTGCTTGTTGATAGCATAAGCAGGTGTTCTAGATCACCACAAGACATTTTTATTAATGTTATAAAGACATTCTGTATTATGCATGAACAGTGTACTGTTGCTCAAGGCCAGGTTGAAAAGTAGAAAGTTTGAGAGGATTGAGAGGAGCTGTTTTATTGCATC